TGTAAGCTTGTTCTCCCCAGTTCACCCTTTCTCACCGGGTGATCGTGTGTGGTTAAAGGACTGGAATTTAGTCCCTCTGAAGCCATGGTGGAAAGGACCCCAGACCGTGATATGTAGAGGGAATCCCAGCCTAGATCCAGCACAGCAGTGCAAAACCTACAGCAACTTGGGAAGCTAGACCAGACCCAGAGTCACCTTAAGAAGGACAGCAAGCCTTGCTCCAGCCACATCCCAGAAGCTGGCTGGTCCACGCATGGCCGAAGCATAAGGAGACTCATTGTGGGACTCATTCTTAAAATTTGGACTCATACAATAGGGATATTAACTAACTTTGAAGAATGCTCTTAGTGTGTGCACCAGGTTACTAGGTAGGTTGGAAAGTTAGTGCCATTGTTTTGTTCTACAGTTATTATCAATGTGCAGGCACACAGAAGGGAACCTGTTTATATAATGGTACTCAGTAAAAGGTGTGTAGCCCAGGAGATAGAAAACCCGATGTCTGCTACGATCCATCAGAACCCCCTATGCATACAGCTTTTGCAATTAAACTCATAACAGGGCAATGGAACAGCCCTACTAAGTTAATAGCTAAAATAGAGGATCAGGAAGATGAGGATGAGAGCGAGAACTTTCACTAATGTTATAGGTGAGATTCTCAAAGGGGGGAATGAGGAAGGAAACCCTTCATCCTCTTGAGCTTCTAAGAGCCCTTTCCCCTAGATTTCTACATTGCATTTCAATAGGAGAAGTAAAGGCTGGCAGACACAGGCACCACCCTTAATCACATTCCTGTAGATAGCAGGCATGGTATGGAGGAATATTTCCAGAAGGCATTCTTTTTGCTTAAACACAATCAGACCCCCACCTAGTCCACATACCCCATGCCTGCTTCATGGATTAAGACCCTTTCACATGTAATTTCTAGAATTGCAAGCCTTTAAAAGGGCAAGGATTTTCTTTGTCGAGGAGCTTGGCTGTTAAGGTATTTTCACCTGCCACAGCTCCTGGCTGAAGAAATCACCACTTCCTTCCCAGATCAGTGTTGGAGAGGTTTGTTTGCAATCCCTCCTGCTTCAGCATCAGTAGAAAGAAATGTCTGGCTAGATAAGGGGTTTTGGAGACCAAGGTTTTATCATGTAGATGAAGCCTCCAGGTAGCAGCCTTCAGAGAGAACAGGTTGCACATGTTTCTTATCAGACTTAGAGTCTGTCAGTCTTAAAGTCTATATTGATGCTAATGCTGGTCAACTGGGCCTGAATTTTAAAAGGAAGGAGGGAATAATGAGGCATATCTTAATCCTCCTTCCTATCATGGTCTGAATCAGTTTTTCAGGTTAACTTTGGAATGCCCTTGGTTGAGAGGGGGAGTCCATTCAGATGGTTGTGGGGCTTAGAATTTTATATTTGGTTTATATTTCACTGTACACCTTCCCTCCTGGTGGGCAAGGACTGTGGAGTTTTGGTAAAGCACATAGTATTCTTAAAAAGCATTATTTAACTTTCCCCCCACCCAAATAAGATGGGGGTGGGGAAGCTGGTTTGAATGTAAAAATAGAGAAAGTCACGACATCAACGAAGAATGTCAAGGGCTGTTTGCCCTTCCCTTTCTGGACAGCATCCTTTGGCACGGTTTCAGTGTTCTTTGTCTCTTCCTGGCAGGAGGCAGACAGATTTTCCCAGAGCAGCAACATCCTTTATCCACAGACCATTTCAGAAATGCTATCTCTAAATTGCCTGCAGAGGTGGAAGGAGGCTTTGCTAAAACTGTTGACAGAGCAAAGCTGCAGCCAGATCAAAATCCTGCTACTTGAAACTCCTGGGCTGTAGTTTTTGGAGGTTAGAAGAAGACCACAGTGGGCAGAAAGTGAGATTTCGTTGGAAGGAAGCATCCCTATGTTGTTTGGGCAAGATGGATGAAAACATAGTGATGATGGCGCAGGGAGAGATTGTACTGTTGAGAAACCCAGGCAATCTGTGGTTCCTTATACATCCAACATATTTGCTGTCCTGCAGTGAGTGTTCAAATTACAAATATGGCCATGTTGCCTACTGTGTATAAAACCTTCATAGGCTCTGTACCCTTGCCCACTGCCCTTGGGATAAAGTCCTGGCTCCTCAGCCTGGCATACAACATTCCTCACTATTTAGTTCTGGCATCCTTCTTACTGTCCCCCACCCTGCCTTTTATGGTCCAGCATCACTCAATTACTTCCAGTTGTCTCACCATCATGGCGACTTCTCTGGCTTGTCTTACTGTTCTGAAAGAGTCCCCGTTCATACTTGAGATTACCTCCTCCAGGAAGCCTTCTTTGATCTTCTCTGGACTGGGCTAGATGTCCCTTCTTTGTCTCTCCCACTAAAATGTGAGTTCTGTAAGAACAGAGATCATGATGTTTAAATCTCATATCCCCTAGCACCTAGCATGGGGCCTGTTGGGTCCCCAGCCCTTGTTTGAGAGCCATCTGGGAATTCAAGCACTTAGTAGGAGGCTCATGGCCAAGGGGAAGGTGAGAGGAAAGGGCTGGGTGACACTTTGAAACTCACCAATCATAAGTCAGTCTTCCTTCCAAGCAGGAGTGAGGGGCCAGGTGGAGAAAGGCTGGAAGGAAACAGGAATATTAAGAACTCACACCCTCAACAGAATCAACTACTGCATTTATGCTGTAGAATGTGCACCACATCATTTCCAAATGAATTTCCTTTTCATGGTTTCCTTTTTATCCACTTTCTGCTTTTGTTTTTTGGAGATGGGGGCCAACATAGTGAAACCCCATCTCTACTAAAAAGACAAAAATTAGTCAGGCGTGGAGGTGCACACCTGTAGTCCCAGCTACTTGGGAGGCTGAGGCAGGAGAATTGCTTGAACCTGGGAGGCAGAAGTTGTGTTGAGCCAAGATCACGCTACTGCACTCCAGCCTGGGTGACAGAGCGAGACTCTGTCTTAAAAAAAAAATTAATTCCAAGTTCTCTAAGGTGGTGGGTGGGAAGAGATGGGGTCTCACTATGTTGCTCAGGCTGGTCTCAAACTCCTGGGCTCAAGCAATCTGCCAAAGTGCTGGGATTACAGGTGTGAGCTCTGCCAATGTTTTTTTTTTTTTTTTTTTTTTTTAAGTAAGAGTTATTTTAAATAAAGTAATATGGGCCGGGCGCGGTGGCTCAAGCCTGTAATCCCAGCACTTAGGGAGACCGAGGTGGGTGGATCATGAGGTCAAGAGATCGAGACCATCCTGGTCAACACGGTGAAACCCCGCCTCTCCTAAAAATACAAAAAGTTAGCTGGGCATGGTGGTGCATGCCTGTAATCCCAGCTATTCAGGAGGCTGAGGAAGGAGAATTGCCTGAACCCAGGAGGCGGAGGTTGCGGTGAGCCGAGATCGCGCCATTGCACTCCAGCCTGGGTAACAAGAGCGAAACTCCGTCCCCCACAAAAAAAAAGTAATATGAATACATGGTTTAAAAAATACTAATGAGGGAGGAGACCCTTAGTCAACCTTAAGCATCTAAGACCACCCCCTCCTTGACTTCCACACTGCATTTCAACAGGAGAAGTAAAGGCTGGCAGACCAGGCGCCACCTTAATTGCCCTCCTATAGATCGCAGGCACATTGTGGAGGAATCTGGAAGGCACTGTTTTTACTTAAAAAGGATCAAACCCCCACCTAAGTCACTATACCCCACATCTACTCCATGGCCCAAGACCCTTTCACATGTAAATTCTAGAGTTGTAAGCCCAAGACCCTTTCATATGTAATTTCGAAAGCTGTGAACCCAAGACCCTGTCATGTGTAATACTTAGAGTTGTAAGCCTATATAAAGGCAGATATTTCCTTTATTAGAGGAGCTTGGCTGTTAGGCAGCTATGTCGCCTTGCTCCCAGCCGAATAAATCACCCCTTCCTTCTCAGTTTGGTGTTCAAGAAGTCTGTTTCTCGTGGCTGCTCCTGCTTCACTAAGAGTTTATGTAGATAGGCTTATAATGAAAAGCAACAATCCTGTGTCTCAACTCTCCCTAAACCTAATGCTCCAGCCTAGAGACAATGATTTTTTTGGCTGGGCACGGTGGCTCATGCCTGTAATCCAAGCACTTTGGAGGCCAAGGCAGGCGCATCACCTGAGGTCGGGAGTTCAAGACAAGCCTGACCAACATGGTGAAACCCTGTCTTTAAAAAAAAAAAAAAAAAAAAAAAGAGAGAGTGACAATGAATTTTTACCCTTTTAGCTATTTTTTTTTTGATCACTCAAAAACTTTAATGCTCAGTTTTCACAAACACAATCAAGTCTATAAATTTCCAGATTTACAGCAAAATGTATGAGCTAAAATTTAAAAAGTGTACATTCTTCATTCTTCAGTTTCTCCTATACTTTTTTTTTTTTTTTTTTTTTTTTTTTTTACCTATCCTTCAAAACTGAGCACTGGGTATTTTTAACATAAGCCATGTCATATTTACAGTTTATGCTTCAGGAATAAACAAAATCCATGATATTTCAGTAACTCATAGCATATTTATAAAATGAAAAGCTCTCTATCAAAATACACTTTTCACTGGGAAAAGTAAAATAGACAAACGGATCTACACAAAGTAAACATTAACTTTGGTAGATTTCAGTGTAGTTCATAACAAGCATATTTGCCTGTATTCCCCCAGAGCTGCTCAACTACCAAGAATTTTAAAAATATTTTTAAGGCCGGGTGCGGTGGCTTACGCCTGTAATCCCAGCACTTTGGGAGGCCGAGGCGGGTGGATCACGAGGTCAAGAGATCGAGACCATCCTGGTCAACACGGTGAAACCCCGTCTCTACTAAAAATACAAAACATTAGCTGGGCATGGTGGTGCGTGCCTGTAATCCCAGCTACTCAGGAGGCTGAGGCAGGAGAATTGCCTGAACCCAGGAGGCGGAGGTTGCAGTGAGCCGAGATCGCGCCATTGCACTCCAGCCTGGGTAACAAGAGCGAAACTCCGTCTCAAAAAAAAAAATATATATATATATATATATATTTTTTTTTTAATTAAGATTTTATTAGGTTGACATTTGTTTCTCATTCCACGTCATCTTCAGCCAAGCTCTGAGCACTTACAATTCTCTGACTAATTGTTGGGAGCTTAGTCAGAAGCATCTGGAACACTGGTGGTGGAAGAGTTTGCTGTAAGACCTGCAGTAACTGCTGAGGCTGTCCACACACAGCAATTGCATTCGTCGGATGGTCTACTCCCTTCTCATATTCACCTTGAGCTAGTAATTCTTCACCAAGTTGTATTTCATCAAGGAAGAATTTCCGAACAGCTTCAGCATCGTTAGGGTCAGGTAACTTGGGAAGCCCAGCTCTCTCCTTGGCAAGCTTCTGTTTCTTTCTTCGTTCTCGAAGCCTGTTCTTAAAGTTGGGGTCACTTCGTCTTTTGTGGTCGAAGTAGATGTAGTACCCGATAAAAAGGGCCCCACGTACATGGCGGCGATGGCACTGCTCCGACCCACCATCTTCTCTACAACGCGGAGCGTGAGCGATGGCGGCAGGGACCGCGAAGGAGCCGTGGGCCACAAACCCTCAGAGCGAGGGCGCAGCCCACAGCCGACGCCCGCGGGCCAGGGACTCCGAAAAGCTAGCTATTTTTTTTTTAAATGGTTTTCTTCATATCTCTACCTTTCCTCCTCCCTCCCTCCCACCCTCTCTTCCTCCCTCCCTCCCTCTTCCTAGACAAGGTCTTGTTCTGTTGCCCAGGCTGGAGTGCAATGGGAAGATCATAGCTCACAGCTTCCAACTCCTGGGTTCAAGCGTGCCTCCTGCCTCAACCTCCCAGGTAGCTAGGACTATAGGTGTGAGCCACTGAAAGCAGCTTTGCAAAAATTATAGCAGTGAGAAAATTTTAGCAGTGGGAGAGATCTGCTACAGCCAACCTCCCTGCTGTTGCCTTTAGCTTTCAAGTTGCCTTAATTATACCTGTGCTTAGGCCCAGCTAACTCTGAAAGACATTTAGTTTATAGTTTAAATGGTAGTAGCCCTTCCCCAAAACGCAACTGCCTTTGTAAAGCTAATGAAAGGCCACCAAGCTGGGGGAAGAGGAGCCTGAACTCTGCTAAGGCGTAGACATAAAGGATTGCTAGCCATTATTCTAGAGGTCACAGATATGCAACTTCCCTGATTACTCCTGCAAAAACACCACTATTGTAGATTGGCCTTTTGAGATACCTTTTCAAGTTTTTTGCATGTCTGACACCTGTGGCTCCACCTGGACCCCCCCCCCCCCCCCCCCCCCCCCCCCCCCCCCCGCCCCAGTCAATGGCTCCACTGTTCCTGTGACACCACACAGGAGCAACCCAGTGTAAGAAGAGGCTTCAACTCCCTATGAATTTATCTCTGACCCAGACAATCAGCAGCAAGCACCCATTACCTAGCCACCCCTACTCCTTCCCCAAAACTGCCTTTGGAAAACTCCTAACCTAGGAGCCTTTGATGAGATTGACTTGAGTAATGACTCTGTCTCCCAAGTGCCCTGGCTGGCCTCATGTCTATTAAACTCTTTCTTCACTGCAATGCCATGATCTTCGTTTGTACAGTGGGCAGGAAGAACCCATTGGTAGTTATACCACCACATCCACCTAATTTTAAAATTTTATGTAAGACAGCATCTCACCACATTGCCTGGGATGAACTTGAACTCCTGGCCTCAAGTGATCCCCCTGCCTCAGCCTCCCAAAATGCTGAGATTACAGGTATGAGCCACTGTGCCCAGCCTCTACTAGTTCTTGATTTAGCAGGCTGAGATATTTAAGGTACACAGCTGACTATGTGACCCCCCAACTGAAACTGATGGCTGCCCTTTGGAATAAGGTCAAACTCCTTAACAGGGCTAACCAGACCTGCATCTTCTGACATTTCCACCATGCTTATCTACTTTATTGTTTTCTTTTCTTTATTCATGTACATTTTGAATTTTTACATCTTTAGAATACCCATCTCCTGGCATTTGTGCCATATATATTATCCCCTCCTCTGGATAGTGGGCTGGATGTTAATGACTTGCTTCTATGGACTAAATTTGTTCAAAGGGATGGACTGTTACTTTCATGACATTGCAAAGACTCTGGTTTCTGTCTTGCTTGCTCGTTCTAAGAGAAGTAAGCTGCCAAGTTGTAAACTGCCCTTTGGAGAGGCCCACATAGCAAGGAACTGGATAGTAACAACAGCCCACAGTGAACTGAATCTTGCCAGCAACTGTTGTGAGTGAGCTTTTAAATGGATCCAGCCCCAGTCAGGTCTTCAGATGAGACTGCAGCCCTGCCTGACACGTTCATTGCCACTTTGTAAGAGACCTTGAGTCATAGGACCTGGCTCAGCCCGGAATACTGCCCTGCAGAAACTGCAAGATGATAAATATTTGTTGTTCTCAGCCAGTAAATGTTTAGTAATTTGCTAAACAACAATAGATAACTAATGTCACTATTATACCATATTGTTTTCCATTTAGTCACAGAGTTTTAAAAAATTTAATATTCTTCTTTTTATTTTTTTGAGATGGAGTCTTGGTCTGTGGCCCAGGCTGGAGTGCAGTGGCATGATTTTGGCTCACTACAACCTCCATCTCCAGGGTTCAAGTAATTCTAAAGCCTCAGCCTCCTGAGTAGCTGAGATTATAGGTGCATGTCACAATGCCCAGCTAATTTTTGTATTTTTTAGTAAAGACAGGGTTTTGCCATGTTGGCCAGGCTGATCTTGAACTCCTGACCTTAGGTGATCCGCCAGCCTCAGCTTCACAGTGTTGGGATTATAGGCATGAGCCACCACGCCCAACCTAAACATTTAATCTTCTTAACTCCTCTTTCCTGTACCCGTCAAAAGCTGTGTTTACAGATTGGGTGTTCCTTCCACATCTGTTCCCATGCTCATATAACCATATACAAAATGCTAAACAGATGAGAGACTTATTAGGCCATTCATTATTTATTCTTGAACAGTGTCCTCTGGCTTCATTTCAGATTCAGAGACTGAAAGTACCCCGAATGTCTGTCAGTTATAGCTGTGCTCTCCTCCCTGCCAAAAGGAAACCCTAAAGAGTCGTGTGGTTTACAAGAGCAATTAGCAGCAGCTGGCCAGAGCAGCAGAAATATACACTCTTCTATTAATTTCCACGAGAGTCTGGGACTGTGCTTTAGGGTCCTGAAAAACACAGACAGCGCTGGACAATAGAATATATACCACTCCGAAAACACATGTCCTCCACACTGCGTTCTGCACACTGGGACTGCAAAGTGAAAATGCTTTTATTGTCTCTCTACAGGCAAATGGGTATTGTTCTTCCAAGACGCCATTGTCAAAGAATCTCTGGATTCCTTTGAGAATCGCGTTCCATAGACTGTTTCCATGAAGTGTAAGGGCACTGAGCTTAGTCCTCAGGTCAATCTCATATTTTACCCTTCTTCAAACCCCATTCCCTTAGTGGATGACGCTTCTCTGCTCTGACTAAAACATCCTCTCCTCCAGGTGGTCCTGCAGGAAGGCAAGTTCTACTTTTCTTTTTCTTTTCTTTCTTTTTTTTTTTTTGAAACAGTGAATTAGGAAAGACTGCAAACAAACCTCTTGAACACTGAACTGGGAAGGCAGTGGTGATTTATTCGGCCAGGAGCTACGGCCGGTGAAAATACCTTGACAGCCAAGCTCCCCAACTAGAAAATCCTGTCCCCCACCTTTCTTTTTTTTTTTTTAGAGATGGGGTCTCGCTATGTTGCCCAGGCTGGAGTGCAGTGGCTATTCACAGGCGTGATCCCACTACTGAATCAGCATGGGAGTTTTGACCTGCTCTGTTTCTGACCTGGGCCGGTTCACCCCTCTTTAGGAAACCTGGTGGTCCCCTGCTCCTGGGACCATATTGATGCCGAACTTAGTGCGGACACCAGATTGGCATAGCACACTACAGCCCAGAACTCCTGGGCTCAAGTGATCCTCCCACCTCAGCCTCCCGAGTAGCTGGGGCTACAGGCGCGTGCCACGGTGCCTGGCTCCTGTCCCCTTTTAAAGGCTCACAATGTTAGAAATTACATGTGAAAAGGTCTCGATCCATGAAGTAGGAGCGTGGTACGTGACTTAGGTGGAGGTCTGATCATGTTTAAGCAAAAAGAATGCCTTCCAGAAAGATTCCTCCATACCATGCCTGCTACCTATGGGGTGCAATTAAAGGTGGCACCCAGTCCGCTAGGTTTTACCTCTCCTATTGAAATGCAATGCAGAACGCTGGGGGAAGTGGTCTAGAAGTTAAGAAGATGAAGGGTGATTAAGGGTCTGCTTCCTCAACAGGGTCTGGCTCTGTTGCCCAGACAGGAGTACAGTGGTGGGATCTCGGCTCACATGTATTACAGGCATGTGCCACCAAACCCAGCTAATTTTTGTATTTTTAGTAGAGATGGAGTTTCACCATGTTGGTCAGGGTGGTCTCAAACTCCTGACCTCATGATCTGTCCCCCTCAGCCTCCCAAAGTGCTGGGATTACAGGCGTGAGTTACCACACCTGGCCTAATTAAAGAAAATTTTTTTGTAGAGATAGAGGTTCACCATGTTGCCCAGACAGGTCTTGAGCTCTTGGACTCAAGTGATCCGCTTGCTTCAGCCTCCTAAAGTGCTGGAATTACAGGCATGAGCCACCGCGCCTGGCCAAGTTCTACTGTTTCTGCTGCTTGCTGCCAGGGCTCTTTCTTCATCTTGGGGGCCACTTGTCATAAAGAACTATAATCATGCAGATCCCTTTTTCCCACTGATACACTAGGAGCTCTGCGAGGGCAAGAACTTTGCCTCACTTACTCCTGCGTCCCTGGGAACTGGTCTCAGCAGTAAGCACCGATAAATAATTGTGCAAAGAATGAGCCGGACGTGGTGGCTCATGCCTGTAATCCCAGCACTTTGGGAGGCTGAGGCAGGCAGATCACTTGAGGTCAGGAGTTCGAGACCAGCCTGACCAACATGGTGAAACCCTGTCTCTATGAAAAGTACAACAATTAGCCGGGCATGCTGGCAGGCATTTGTAATCCCAGCTACTCAGGAGTCAGAGGCAGGAGAATCACTTGAACCCTGGAGGCAGAGGTTGTAGTCAGCTGAGATTGCGGCACTGCACTCCCACCCGGGCAACAGAGGGAGACTCCATTTAAAAAAAAAAGAAGAAGAATAAATTGGCTGTAAAACTCTGCTGCTTGTTTGCAAAAATCAAATCCATCCTCAAAGGACCAAAATTTGTCACCCTTGATGAAGGTTAACAGTGAAGATTTATGAGAATTTGCTGAGGGTCAAACATTGGGCCTTTATTTTATTTTATTTTATTTTATTGAGATGGAGTTTCACTCTTGTTGCCCAGGCTGGAGTGCAGTGGCATGATCTCAGCTCATTGCAACCTCTGCCTCCTGGGTTGAAGCGATTCTTGTGCCTCAGCCTTCCAAGTAGCTTGGATTACAGGCACCTGCCACCATGCCCAGCTAATTTTTTGTATTTGTAGTAGAGACAGGGTTTCGCCATGTTGCCCAGGCTGGTCTTGAACTCCTGACCTCAGGTGATCCACCTGCCTTGGCCTCCCAAAGTGCTGGGTTAA